ATATATATATATATATATATATACATAGCGTTTAAAAAGTCTCGGGACACTTGAATATCATGGAAAATATAAGTTGTACAGAAAAGTGTTTCAGACAAAAGTTGTAGGGTTCGAAAAGATTTATTTATTGATCTTATTGGTTTGACCTTTGGTGGCTTCGCCAAAGACAGGGTAAGATCACTTTAAATTTTTTAAATGGAACCCCACATTTTTCATTGCATATTCTTGTAGTTTATTTCGAGAGTTTTCCAAAACACTATAATAAAATATTTTTCCATTAATCACTTCTCGAGTTATAAGGTTTGGAAGTTACAGTACCATCGACATTAGCATTATCTAAGATGTCCGAACAATGGCTGAAACCCATTGAATGTAATTCAGGATTATAAGCTTGACAACATATGTCGAGGCCATGATCATTAGAGATTGTTTCTCCGATTTTCATTTTTGAAAATTATTTTTATTTTTTGAAAAAAGAAAAACATACTTCAATAATTATCAATTAATGACCTTGACATATGTTGTCAAGCTCATAATCTTGAACAACATTCAAAAGGTTTTAGCCATTGTTCGGACACTTTGAATAATGCTAATGCCAGTGATACTATAACTTTCAAGCTTCATAACTCAAGATTTACTTGACAAAAATACATTTTATCTACGTGTTTTGGAAAGCTCTCGAAATAAGCTACAAGAATATGCAATGAAAATAGGGCGTTCCATTTAAAAAGTGACGTCCTAACCTTGATGACGCCACTCAGGATCCAATGTTATCATCTTATGTCCTCAAGTCCCAAAACTTTGTCTGAAACATTTTTCTCTAAAACCCCGCGATTTCCAAATATTTGACTGTCAAATATAAAATAAGACACCTTCTTGGGATATACATATATGTACATCTTATTGTTAATAATGTTAGTATGTAATTAGAAATATATTTATTAGAACATCCATAAATTTGCTCATTTTCGGTCTTTTAATTTTACTTTTCTTATTATTTGTCTTTACAATTACGAGTCGTTCTTAGATTACTTCTTATAATTATTATTTAAAATATACTGTGTATACATGGCCTATCCCAAAAGGAATGAGACTATTTTTTGGGACTTCATCAAAATTGGGGGAAGTAAATCCATTGAACAGGGCCTTTGGTACAATATGTCAGGTATACAATCTGATCCTTCTCATTTGCCTCCGAGCCTTTCTAGCAGTCGGTATCGTCAGCAAAGCGTTGTAATTTTTATGTCTTGTCACGGGTGAAAATTCAGCACAGACTGCTGTATTTTGAGCAACGTTACGATCAAATTCTGAAGACAAAGCAACATTCTTATAAGCTGTTCTCAATATCTTCAACGTTTCAAAACTAGATTTTTCCAGTTTCACGCAGAATTTGATCGCTGCTCGCGACTGCTGAATTTCCACTCGCGACAAAAATTATATTGCACTTTATTGACGATATCGACTGCTAGAAAGGCTCGGAGGCAATTGGGTAAGGTCAGACTGTATACCTGACATCCCATACCAAAGGCTTCGTTCAATGGATCCATCCTCCGACAATTCTGATTGGGACGCCAAAAATAGTCTCATTACTTTTAGGACAGACCATGTATATGTATATAAACCAAATGCACTTTAACAATCTTCAGTAAAAACTTTAGCCTTATTTAATAATTTACTACAAAAATAAACGCAAGCAAAATCTATTAATAAAAATAAATATTGATAATACGTTTTATAAAATTCAGTCGACAATAAATGATATATTTTATACAGTGAAGAACCAACTAAGCAGGTCGAACCTTTAAGGCCTCCTGCAGATAGCACGCCTGGCGATAAAATTATTATCGAGGGATATGATGATGGAGTTGCAGATGATGTATTAAATCCAAAGAAAAAAGTATGGGAGAAGTTGCAGGTACGTCTGAAGACTGATCAACTTAATTCGCAAAATATTTACTGAATCTTTCTGCATGTGTCAACATTTTTGTAATATTTAAGGCTCCTGACTAGTCACTGCCGCTATATTTGAATCATGACGCCATAAGCGAGAATGACACGTAAAGTTTCTTGTGTGCTATTTTTAAATAAAGAAAATTTGGATGAAATAAAAAAATGAAATAGTACACAAGACAAAATTTCGTCGTCAACTTTCATTAACTTTTCACAGTATAAGGTCCGTTATTCTCTTCATATTCGACTGTGATTGATCAAATTTTATTGTTTACGATATCTGTATACGTCATATTGTAGAATTCTTATGGTTTACGATTTATAACATTCGCGAATAGCATTTAAAAGAGTTCCCTCTGGAGGAATGTAGATAAATCACTTTACAAGGAAAATAATTCAAAATTAATACAGTAAAAATACACAAAAATGCAAGGAACGAAACATTAGCGATTTTGTATAGCTTCTCAACGGAAACTAAAGAAAAAAGGTGCTTAAAAAAAAAATTAGAGCAACTATTTTCTATGATTTCAGTACTATTTGTAGTTAATTTCCTTTGTGAATTCCTACCGCGATATAGTGTTGCCATACGGTATTCACGAAGGAAATTAACTATAGATGGTACTGAAAATATCGCCTATATTGCATTTCATTGGATCCAGTTCAAAATAAAAGTTGCGGCGATACCTGCGCGAAGGTTCATTTTTTTGCGGATCTACTGATTATACTGTGGTGTTGCTA